AGCTGCGTGGGCCTGCCGTCGTACCTGCTGTCTGGCTGTGGGGAGGAGGGCTGCCTGACCCTGGGGGGGTGGCCATTATTTGACTCTGTGTTTCAGCCGTCATTTACTTTGGTGGCCGGAGGGAAGGCGAGAGCTGGAACTGGGCCTGGGTGCTGAGCACCAGGCTGGCCAGGCACATCGGCTACTTGGAGCTGCTGCTCAAGCTGATGTTTGTGAACCCGCCCGAGCTGCCCGAGCAGACCACGAAGGCTTTGCCCGTGAGGTGAGTCGGTCCCTGCGACAGTAACCAACACGACGAGGCACACCCAGTTGGTAATGCGCCGTTCTCAGTGCCTGCTTCAGAAGCTGTTACAGGAGAAGTAAAACCAACAGCCGCCTGGTCAAGGGCACTGGGAAGCACTCCGTGTCCCATCTCCTCCCGCACATCAGAGGTCAGAGAACCTGCCCTTGAAGAATCCGTTTCACTTGGATTTGCAGATTTTATCTATGTGCCTGCCCCTCCCCTGTGACACCTACTGCCGTCCGTGCGACACTTGTGGACAGAGCATGGCCCTGGGCTGGGTCCCAGCACCTCCTGTGCTGGCTGTGACTGGGCAGCTCACTGTGCTCTGCTGCTCGTCCGCACCTGTGGGCACGTGCTACCTGCCTGCCTGACGTTATCAGTAATGTCACGTGGGAAACGTCTGGGGAGACATGCAGGAGGGTGAGAACAGGCGTGAGGGGGCACAGGTGCGAAGGGGCACAGGCACAGGGCGGGGCTGCGGGGGAAGCAGTGGAAATGAGCATGAGAATTCCACATGCACTGAAAGGAAGAAGTCACAGGGACTAAGGTAAAACGTGCAATTGTCAGTGAAAGCAGAGGCCACACCACACAAACTGTCACAGCTGTCACATGAGAAGAAGGAAGACATAAGCCTGCAGGTAAGAGAGTCAGTGTTAAGAAAAGGATTTAAACATAAAAAGTTGAAAAGAAAGCTTACAGAGTAGAATAAAGTAATTGGGGGAAATATTTTTATAGGAAAGGACACATTTTAAACTAACAAGATGGTGTCACTTTAAAAAGAGAGGTCACTTCCCACAGCCTCCGTGGAGAGCAGAGGGCAGTGCGGGCAGTGGGGCCCCAGACGGCGTGAAAGCCGGGCTTGTCTGCTGACGGGGGAGAGCTCACTCAGGGAGGGAGGGAGGGGAACCGTGCGGACATACTGATCACCCAGGGAATCCAAATGTAAGCAATTCCGTTACTTCAAAGAGCAACTCGAATAGAATATTCTATGACTTATTTTTAAGTCTCTGGTTGAGGTTTAAGCTATAAATGAAATAGTCTAGAGCAGTGGTTCTCAACCTTCTGGCCCTTTAAATACAGTTCCTCATGTGGTGACCCAACCATAAAATTATGTTCGTTGCTACTTCATAACTGTAATGTTGCTACTGTTATGAATCGTAATGTAAATATCTGATATGCAGGATGGTCTTAGGCGACCCCTGTGAAAGGGTCGTTTGCCAAAGGGGTCGTGACCCACAGGTTGAGAACCCCTGGTCTAGAGCCTGAGGTTTTTTTTATTTTTATGCTAGTTGGTGACAAAGAGGGAAAGAATGATCATTCCAATGAGAGATAGAGATAGAAACATCAATGATGAGAGAGAATCATTGATTGGCTGCCTCCTGCACGCCCCCCACTGGGAATCGAGCCCGCAACCCGGGCATGTGCCCTTGACTGGAATCGAACCCGGGGCCCTTCAGTCCACAGACCAATGCTCTATCCACTGAGCCAAACCAGCTAGGGCTAGAGCCTGAGTTTTTAAATGGCATTAAATGCTCAGTGACTAGGTCGTGTCCTCTGGTTCTCATTGCCCAGTTGGTGCTTAGGAACCTTCCCGAAGTGCCGCTCTGCACCCTCATGCGGTGCCGCCTTCTCGCCGCCTCGTGAGACCTGCCGCGCAAACACACAACAGAATCAAACGGGCGCCATCTCAATAATCTCTGATCCAACAATTGTACCCGATCAGCGCCCTTCCAACAGGAGACAGCCAGGCGTCCCTGGCTCTCCTTCACCCCTGGGGCGTCCCCCAGGGCTGCAACCTGTGGTCCTCTAGGCACGTCTACCGACCACTGTTCGGCCACTCTCACGAGTTGCCGAACGGCTGCCAAACCGAAAGCGAAAGCGCGCACTCAAATTCAGACCACTTGACAACAACCCCGCCGGGCCCTCACGGCCTTCCCCTCCGCCTTCAGTCGGAGCTGCTGCTGTCCCGTGGCTGCGTGCGGCCCGTTCGTGGTCTTTCCACAGAGACGTGCGTGGGATGTTCGAAGCAGAAGATGCCTGACTTCGAGTTCTTTTCCCTCCGTCACTTTAAAAACCATCTTCTGAAAGAGACATAGACAGGCAGGGGCCTGCCACAGGCGATGCGCAGGGGCTTCTGGGAGAGCTGAGGCCGTTTCCTCCCGGCAGGTTCCTGTTCACGGATTACAACCGCCTGTCCAGCGTCGGCGGGGAGACGTCCATGGCCGAGATGATCGCCACCCTCTCGGACGCCTGCGAGCGCGAGT